AAGCTAGAGTGCAAAAGGACCAAGCTAGAGTGCAAAAGGACCAAGCTAGAGCGCAAAAGGACCAAGCTAGAGCGCAAAAGGACCAATTGAGACTGAAAGGATATGGCCACGACCTGCACAAGTAATAATTTCCATTGCAAAAAGGCGAATACGATCTACAAATGATTAATTTTCAGCGCGAAGCATGTATCCTCGATCGAATCGTATTCGCGAACTGGCAAATTGTCACCTGAACGCGACAGTGGCCTCTCGCAAGAAATCAAGCAGCAAACCAGTTCTACAGTCTGTGTCTCTCCACAATGGAATTATGTAAAGCGTCGAATACATGTCGGAATGCCGCTGATCAAACGACGCGTGACTCTCGAAGGAACTTATCGATTAACCGCGAGACATGTGCGAAAGTCACGCATGAAAAAATCGGATTTCGAACAGGCATCGGATAGACCGAGATAACTCGGGGACTCGTGATAAAGAGCGGAAGGGAGAAAGAGAAAGACGATGAAGAAAAGAGGGGGGAGAGAGAAAGAGGGAATGTTGCAATATTTCGATCGCTGAGAGAGAGACCGATGCACTTTAAAAATACGCCGCGTCTATTCATAGACATTTCCTTGGACACACCGTTACTTCGGTGTATAAACATTCTGCTGGTGCACCGCCGCCTCGCTGCACCGGCAAACGCAACAGTGCATTGCACTTCTAACCTCGAAAGAGCATTTGGTGTCTCGGCAAGACGTGCCAATTACAACGTCGCTCGCATGCTAAGCACGGTCTCTTTTCTCTTTACGTGCCATCCGCAAGGCTGAACCGCCGCGCCGCGTATGCAATTTTCTGCAAATCTGATTGAATCCCGATTCTCGCCAGTTTTTACCGTCTTCCAGAACCGGCTGATATTTTTGTACCGATTGTCCAGACCCTTGGTCTTGTAATCAGCTTGCACGAAGGTGCAACTCGTTTCTAGTTCAATAGAACTCCCCTTGACAGCTTTCCGATACAATTTCGAGAAGCTGCAGTGAAGCCTCTCTTATTCTAAGATTTATTTTTGTAACATCCTGATACCAAAACATTTTATTATCAAACAATTTCATTCACTTTCTCCATTAGATGTTAATGTATCTAAATAATTTTTTAATTCAAATTAATTAAATTTTATTTTATTTAATTCTGCTTCAATTTATTTAATACTACTTTATTTTATTTTATTTTATTTAGTTCTATTTAATTCTATTTAATTCTATATTTAATTCTCTATTTAATTCTATTTATTTCTCAATTTAATTCTATTTAACTTTGTTTAGTTCTATTTAATTTTAATAAGTATATGTACGGGTAAACACCCACTAATAATACAATACTTAGATAACAGAACGTCAGAATACTAGAATAACGTAAAAATAAGTATTCGGATAAGTATTCTACCATAAGTGCACCACTGCAGTGCGTCATCGGCCGAAAATAGAAAATCGCTTCCATAAAAGTGTCGAAGCAATTTCTTTCGTAACTACATTTTACAGAACTCTTAATTCGCCTTTCGTTGACCACAAGTCAACTTTTCCGACTAACGCCGTCTCTGCTTTCGAATAAACGAAGAATCGACGTAAACCCCGACACAAAGTGCAAAGCCGTATAAGTATTATCTGCACGGATCTTCGGCGCAGCTCCAGAAGAGGGTTGACTTCGTTAAGGGACTAGATCGATCAGCGCGGTGGAACACGTTCTAGCAGGAAATTCGCCGAACCCATAAAGCAGGTGCACGGAAGGAAAATCGAACTTTCTCTTTTGCATGGTAATTTCATGTGTTGGCCCGACCACGTCGCTCGTTTATCAAATTCGCTGTGGTCAGAGACGTCCGTTCTTTCTAAAATTACCCGGCGAACGCCGTTTCACGCAGCTCGCACGCGCGCGCGCCCGCCGCTTCTCAGAACCCCGTGAATCCTTTATTTCATCTGACCGATACCGCAGCCACCCCTGTGTGTATGTGTGTCGAATCGCTGATAAAATCGCGCGGGAATATGGAAACACGGTGAGACGAAAGGCTCCTTCGCGAAAACCTTTGCGTGTCGCTCGCAACAGAAACCGTCGGATTTCACGCGGCTGTTCATGTTAATAAGCTATGGGCGCAATTAGCATGCGATGATTGATAATCGAGTCGGGGGTGTATTTCCCGCGGATTTCAAATATTTCAGACACCTAAGTATTCGCACCGGTGCACAGTGGTATGAAAGCTCGAAATCATGGCCGAAATCCTAAAGACTGAAGTTGTCGCTAAGGAATTTTTCTGACTTACGGATTGGTTAGTTTAATGCCAACCATGGGTCCGTATGGTGGGAGATATGGGATGACCCTTACTTTTATACCTGAATGGTAATTGCACTTCGAATTTCGAGTTTGTTGGTCAGTCGTTACTTGTCAGCGGGACCGGCAGTAAGTAGTGGCAGTGGCAGTGGATACGATGTGGATAGTTTAAAGCGTGTATGTTTTTGTGGAAGTGTCCTTTTTCAATCGTGCAAGGTGGATATTGTTCCTGGTAGTAAGTACAACATTTTGTACTGCTAACATTCACGAATTGTTAACTATTACATTAGTAAATCAATAAATTGTAGATTCAAATTATGAAAGCAAATGGAACGCATTTACTGTAAAGTTATAGTCGAAACTTTTGCGGCCTATGAGGGCCTGCTTTCAAATTTACAGGAGCCATAGTTTATAGTTTCATCCAGCTGCACTTGAAAAATTGGCTGCATCATGTTGCACTTTTTTCAATTACAACCACTTTTGTGAGTCAACGTACGGGAAACCGTCCCGTGAGAGTACCTAAGACAGAATAACTTTCTAAAAATCGTGCCAAATTGCTTACATTGTTTTGAGATGTTAGAAAAAACACTTCATTAGGCAATGTCGAAAATTGTTATGAAAAAAAAAAAAATTTTTTAGATTGAAAAAAATGTTTCAATTTTTGGTTTTCTATTTTTATGATCTCGTGACAGTCGATATTGTCTAACTAAGAAAGAAGTGTTCCTTATTATTAAAGAAAACTTAAATAGTGATAATAATTCAATAATAGAATATTTTAAGCAAAAAACTAGGGAACTGTATACCTTTGGCTTCGTAGTCGATCGACCTTCCCGCGTAGCTACGGAACCTCTCTCATTTCCCAATTTTTCAACAACCCATCCGCCATATTTGATCCACCACTTTGTTTTTGGAATTTCTAAATTCAAATTCGTAATCAGCGACCATGAAAACCCTTACGTACAAATTTGTATAAATAAATCCGTCACTATTTCTTATTTTGACCATGATTTCGAGCTTTTATACCACTGCGTGGTGCGAAAAATGAAAAGATCGTAATGGTGATTAACTTCGCAGGAAGAAACGACTACAAATTCAACTGCTAATGTAGACGACGCAAATTAAATCATTAATATAGACGGAAACAAATGAAATCATTAATATAGACGGAAACAAATTAATCCTTTACACTCGAAGCTATTTTAATTCTGAATTCAAGATAGATTTTCTGACTTACAGTACTTCTATCTTGTACGATTCAAGTGCACTTTATATACACAGGGTGTCCCAAAAATGTCTCGCAATCCGAAAATGGCGGGTTCCTCGGATCATTTGAAGCAGCTTCTTCCTTCACAAAAATTTTCTCCGAGGCACCGTTAACGAGTTATTAACGAAAAACAGTGACCAATAAGAATCGAGTACGGCTGACGCGAGGCGGCCCAGCCAACCAGCGCACGAAGCTCAGTTCCGCTCATTGGCTTGGTCGCCTCGCGCCAGCTGAGCTCGCCTCTCATTGGTCACTGTTTTTCGTTAATAACTCGTGAACGGTGTCTC